TTGGCAAGAGGTAAGCGGTAGTGGTTTTCACCTATCCGCGAGGTGAAGGGAGTCGGATCGAGTTCTCTCTTTCCGGCGAAACTAGCGGACGGCGCCAACGCCAATGCACCAGCCTTCCTTTGAGAGCATTCGCAAGAAGGCCTTTCGAAAGGCTTGCAATAGGGTACACAGAACACAGGAAAGCATCCAGTATAGAAACGGCGTGCTGACGCCTGAGCATCTGCGTCGCAGTGGACTTACCCCCCCCTCCCCTCCCCTCCTTCCTGTACAGCCTAGTTCCACGGATCCTTCGGCTCCCTCAGGCCGCACAGACAGCTTCCGCTCACGTCCGCGAGGTGGACGAGCCAGTAAGTCGCTCCGTGTCCTCTCATGGAACGCTGGGCACCTTGGCATCCAGCAATGGGCAGAAGTGAAGACATGGCTACGAACCGAGGCCCAATATGTCTGCGATATTTTAGTCCTGCAGGAGACGCACTGGAGCGAAACAGCAGAGTTTGACGTTGAGGGTTGGCACTGCATAAGCTCTGCCACCAAGGGAGCTGCCCGGGCACCCAAAGCCAAATCAACTTCAGGGCAACGCTCAGCGCGAAGTGCTGCATCGCAGCCGGCGATACATGACACTGGTCGTGCAGATGGGGTTATGGTCCTCCTTTCCCCCTTGATAGACAAGAAAAAGATTAGATGGCGTGAACAGCGCCGAGGCCGACTCATTCAAGTCACCTTTCCGTGGCTGGGAGCTCGAATTCATGTCTTTGCGGTCTATCAACATGCGTGGTCTTCTAAGAAGACTCCTCAACAAAACAAGGAAGATCGCTCGCGCCTGCTACGTGACCTGTCCTCATCCATCAGAGCCGTTCCGGCGAGGGACACATTTCTGCTGGCAGGTGACTTCAACGCACGCTTGACCCCGCAAGAGGGTCTGGTAGGTCGGTGCAGCACTAAGCCAGAGCACTCTCAAATGCAGGATGAGCAGTTCCAGGCCTTGGTTTCCTCTCACAGACTGGTAGCGCTCAACACTTGGTCCTGCGGCACTGGACACACTTTCTTCCTGAACGGAAAGGGCTCACAGATTGATTTCTTGCTGACTTCTGAGGCCTCAGCGAAAGGTATGGCCAAGCGCGCTGGGCCACGACAGGACCTGCAACTTGGACGGTGGAAACGTGGAGGTCATCTGCCTGTATTCGCTCAGCTCCGCCCTACCCAGCACTGGAATTTGCCCAAACCTTCCAGCCCCTCCCTAACCTACAATAAGGAGGCCCTGGAAACAGCAGTTCGCTCTGGCCTGCCCATTGCTGACCGTATGCAGGCTTGGGTAAGCCAGCGCCTATCTTCCAGGTACCACACGCCCGACGAGGTCAACCAAGTGCTGCTCGAGGCTTCTGCTCTGTTTTTTCCGAAACCCAGACCTCAGCAAGTGCCGGAGACCGCGCAACACCGCGCAACCTTGCGCATGTGGAACAGAGTAGCACACATTCGCTCTCTACATGAGGACTCTGTCACCATAGCCGACCTAGATCAGTCCCTGGAGGACCTGAGCCGATGGCACAAACAGGCTCTCTACCTGGCGAAGAAGGAGCGCCATCGTGCATTTCAGGCAGAAGTTGATGAAGCATGCGCCCGCCATGACTCGTACATTGCTCACAAAACCCTCAAAAAACTCAGGCCATGGGCACCACAGACCAAGGCACAGCTTCAGGGCCCGGATGGTTTGCTCCTGGACTCACACTCAGAGCTCCGTTTGCTCCGTGAGCACGTGGAACAGGTTTTTGCCAAGCATCCTCCCCTAGATCACCATGTAACTACTTTGCCGGACATCCCGGCAGGACTGCTAGCCAAGCACATCGGTTCCATACGACCACACAAAGCGGTCCCTCAAGGCTCCGCACCTGCGGCGTCCTGGCGATTGTGCTCGGCGGATGCGGGTGAGGCTTTAGCAGCAACGCTGCAGTCCATTGGGCAACGCCCACAGTCGGCTGAGGATGTTCTTCAGCCACCGCTCAAGGATGCTGACATGTGTTTTATTAAGCCCAACAAGCCAGCCACGAAGCCTAGCAATCTACGCCCCCTGGGCATCATACGCCCTGACGGGAAAGGCCTGGCAGGGGCCTGCAGAGACAAGCTATCTCCCTACACGGCTGAATATCTTCGGGGCCTTCCTCAGTTTGCCTACCAACCCCAACGCGGTCTATCTGACGCGCTAGGCAGGGTTGTAGGACATGTCACTCAAGTGCGCAGTAACTGCCAGGAGGCCCGGCGAACCAGACACCAGCTTCACGCAGGACATACACGTCCTCAGTTGATAGGAGGCATTTGCTTTGCTTTGGACTTGTCGCAAGCCTTCGATATGGTGAACAGGTCCGACCTACTCAACACACTGCACGACGCAGGTGTCCCACAGGACCTCATAGATCTTGTCGCCTCCTTGCACGCAGGCAGTTCGTACACTTTTCGCACGCAAGGTGACGCCGATACCGTCCAGTCCACGGCGGGCATTAAACAAGGATGCAAGCTTGCTCCCACTCTTCTCTATGCTCACAGGCACCATCTTTCGAGAGCTCATAGCTCTAGTAGGAGTCAAAGCTGTAGTGGACTACCTCACAGGCTACGCGGACGATCTGACAATCCACCGAGACATCCACTCGCTGGAAGATCTAGAACGCGCTCATGCATTGATAGAGCAGTTGTTGCAGTTGGTCCGCAGTCATGGCTTTGCAGTGAACAATTCCAAGTGCACAGTCATGGTAAAGCTCGAAGGTCAACAGGCGCAACGCGCCCTGTCCCAGCACACGTATTGGCGCACCGCGTCTGATGGTACTCGTCACAAGATGTGGCGGTTGGGGACATCCAAGTCTCACGAAGGCTTTCCAATGGTCACGTCTTTCAAGTACTTAGGAGTCATGCTCTCCTACTCGAATTTCGAGAAGGCCACTCTTACATTCCGGATGCAGGAGGGCAACGCCAAACTGCAACAGGTACGTCGCTTTGTTCACAACAGACGCACTGCAGGGCCGAAATCGAGGCTCCATATCTGGCACAGCACCGTCTGGGCCACGGTGGCCTCTGGGCTAGTCGACGTCGGTCTAACTCTTGAAACGGCTCGACTTTTGCGCGCCTGGCACGCTCGCAAGATTCGTGCGGTTCTTAACAATCCGGTGCATCTCACCCACATGTCAACCTCTGACCTTTACGCTTCCTACGAGATCATAGATCCCGTTTGTAAGCTCCAGGCGAGACAGGCCAATCGTGTCAAACGCTTGCATCTCCGCCAAAAGAAAACACCTGCAGGAGACGTCTCGCTGACACAGAAAGCTGTGCATCAAGCGGAAGCACTCTCTGTCGGGTATACAGAGGTTCTCCAGCAGCTCTCCGAAGAAATTAAGCAACAGGAAGCCCCCCAATCGTATGCATGCCCAACATGCGCTCAGGCCTTTGACACCGAGGTCGGCCTACGCACACACCAGGCACGCAAGCACCCAGGCTCGGTCCTCAGATATGTCCCTAGAGCCTTCTCCCACACCCTTTCGGTAGGAGGGCTTCCTAAGTGTGCAGCATGCAACCGGCAATTCCCTCACATGAAAGGCTTAAAAGACCATTTGTTATCAGGCGCCTGCCCAGACCCGGCCAAATCCCCCCTCGGACCTGCAGCAGGTCCCTCGGCTTCACCCCAGACAGCAACGACTTCATGACACATTGCAGACGCACACTGCGGTCGAACTAGGCAGGCTTGATGAATCCCAGGATCTTATGTCTTATTGCCTGATCTGCGGATTCTGGTCTCCGGACAACACCAAGCTCAAGTCTCATATTCGCCAAGCCCACAAACCGGAGTGGGCAGCTCATGGCGCCGCGGCTGCTGACAGGAGCACCAAATCAGGACTGGTCCTCATCAAGGGCATGCTCTGCCCGTGCTGCCGTAAGACGGTCACGGACAAAAGACTACACCCTGCGCAGTGCCCTGTTTTGTTCCAAATCTCGTTTTACGATTTGGTTCATGAGCTCTCTCGCTGTCAGGGAGGACCGCTGCGACGGTACATCCCTGTTGTTAGTGAAGCGCCTCGTACCATCTCTGACTCCGACTGTAGACGAGCCACCGGGGCAACGCCCCCAGCATTCCAGGCAACGCCTGTGGCAGGTGCGTCCTTGCCCTCTGGCGCTTCGGGATCCGAGAACGCTACCTCTGATGCCCCCCGCCCGCTGAGCAACATCTCCAACTACTGCTACATCAATTCTACGCTCTCGGCTCTGGTGCCGACGCGTGTTCTGCTTGAGCATGGAGGAGCTAGCTCCTCTCTCCATCAAGAAGTTACTGACAGAGCCTCTGCTTCTCCTTTTACACTGACTGCCTCTTTTACTCTCCGCCACCTTACTCCCACCTGGCGTTATGATGGCCAACAACAAGACGCTTCTGAATTTCTGACGGCTTTGTTTGCCGGAATCACAGATCTTCCGATCGCCAGGCCTTGGGAGGTCAGGGATGTGAACACCACGGAAATCCTGGACGCAGGAGGGCCGCTGGCACTGCTGCCGGCTCCGCTGACTGCCGGCTCCCAGGACCTTCAAGACCTCGTACGCCAATGGTCCGGGCAACCGGTGCGAGCTGCTTTTAGGGGACAGCAAAGGCTGATCGTTCTTTCTGTAGCCCGATTTGCAGACGGTCGAAAGCTCAGCTACGCTGTCACGGGCCTAGGTCGTTTCATCGCGCTTCCCCAATGGGCCCCTGATGGCTCTGTTCACACAGTTCAGGGCTGGGTGCAGTCATGTGTATTCCACATTGGAGACACCCCGCACAGCGGACACTATCGCTCCCTCTGGAGGAGCCAACCCGATCAACCGTGGTCCAGTACGGACGACGGTCGTCCGACTGCTCCGGCCTCAGATTCTGATCTCAGGCAGGCACGACAAGGCTGTTATATGCTGTTAGTGCGACTTGGTTCATTACCGCACACAGCGGAGGCTGGCCCTATGCCAGCCCCAGTTCTAGATGACGTAGCTCCTCGTTCATGGCCGGCAACTCTTCGCCACCGGCCAAGCCGGAAAAACGAGCACGTCGTGACCTCGAGGCTGCGGCGAAGGCTGCCGCGGCACCACCTCAAGGCGGGCGAGGCACGATCCGCGCTCTTTCGGTGCAAGAGCTCACCCGCGCCTTCTTGGCACACGATGACGAAATTCAGAGCATTCTCCATCAGCTCTCCGTCGTTCATAAGCTCCCGGTAGAGGGACCGCTGGCCACGACGGCTCTCGACGCCATTCAGGGATGGCTGAAGGATCATAAGCCAGGCCAACCACACCCCTCCGGCTCTCCCACGGTTGCGGTTGCTGCTGCAGTGCTTCCATTCTTGAAGGATTCAACGAAGCCTGAGTCTGTCACCCAACCAGCCTGGGAAGACTTCAAGGCTGCTCTAGCTCTTATCCTAGATGATCCGGACAAGAACAACGCGATCAATCACGAGCTTGCTCTGTTTTCGGCTCGGGCCAATGCGAAAAAGATGCACAGCACGTTGCTCGCTCATGTCTCGACGTACAGCAAACTCATTGAGGACTTCGAAGGCGAGGCACTGGGCAAACGCCCCCAGGGCACCCTGGCTCGCAAAGCCCGTGGACTCCCAACGACCAGCTGAACTTGAGGCATTGAGGCAACGCCCCAGAGGTGAGGCAACGCCTCCAGGTTCCCGGCTTTTAGATTCGCAGCCTCTTGCACCCCACAGCTAAGAGCTGCGCGAAGGAATTGCTTTCCATCTGTCAAGAACTTCACCCCTGCCGCTCCTTCGCTCACACGCGTTAAAGAGACACGCGTTAAAGAGAACAAAAAAGGGCACGCAGCTTGGCCGTGTAGTCTCTAGTTCTGCATTCTCGCGGTCTCCGCCTCCCCTCTGCCTGCTTCTCCTTATACTACCCAGCTAACCATTGCATGTTTTAGCCGTTGAGATCCGATCAGAGTTCCACTCCGGACTCCTAAGCTCACATAGCTAAGCCATGTCGGAGGCTCAGCATGGCATCTCCCAGGAACAGCTCTACGAGCATCTCCTGTGGGCGGCTCGTCAGGAACTCGATGGTCCGAGTCAGAGAACAAGGACGACAAAGCGACGTCTGGCGGAACAGCTTCTATGTCATCTACGTCTACCAAGCAGAACCTGGCCATCGGCAAGCGTCAATGGGCGACTGAAACATCCTCTTCTACTACAACATCGTCGCCTCCCAAGCCCCCTACGCCTCCCGCATCCAAGCGGCAGATGATGTGGAAGCCCAAACTGCCCAAGGCGTCCTGAGTCGTGTGGCATCGCCAACGACTTAATCGGCGAACTTCGCACCGCGAAACTAGTGCATGCAGTACTCGGCTGAAGTGCGGGTCAAATGAAGACCCTTTGCCAGCGCCTTAAACAAGCGTCTCTAGCTGCTTTAGCTAGGATCCCAGGTGTCTGGCAGCAATTGACCTGCATCGATCAGCAAAGTTTTTGGCCCGAGCAAGAGATTCTCGTATCGTGTACTTGTTTCACGTATGTTTTATAAACTATGTTTTCGTGCAACATTTTGGCTCATAGTTGTGCATGCTAGCGTGATGTCACTTTTGTTTTTTGGTGTTCATATCATGGTGTTGCGGAAATTTTTTCTACAGGAACATCTTTTGAGCAGTCTTTCACAACAACTTTTTCTCGACAACTTGCAGAAACTGTAGTTTTCCGGTAGTTCTGGCCGGGTGGGAGCGGGCGCCTCCAAAGTGAGGTGGATGGAAGCTGGCCCGGCACCGGAGCCTCAGTCCCACGCGTGGGCTGCAAGGGTCTTGAGCCTTGAAGTGGCTCAGCTGGAGCTGCAACGTCGGGTAGGGATCGTCGAGAGTTCTATCACTGCAATCCAGCTGCGTATTACCTCTCTCGAGAGGGCACTTTTGCGTGTGTCCCGCCTTGAACGGGAAACCAGACGTCTGGAGAGATCCAACATTCTTTTGGTGCGCGCTCTTAGGGAGAGTCAGCAGAACTATTCTTTGCTTGCACGTAGAGTGGCCGCTCTTGAAGTAGCGGGTCTGTGAAGCATCTGTGCGTGAGTGTCATCTGCAGGGGCCATGCAACCACCTGTTGCGCCTGATCATAAAGCTTTTTCGAAGACTAAAGCCTCTGCACCTCCCTTGCCGTGTGGGCACACCTCTGCCGGTACCTGCACCGAAGTGCTCCCCTAAAGCTCCTCCCCTACCGCCTTCAGGCCTGGCCTTGCCGGGATTGTCTACTGTGCGTGTCCCGGAGCCTCTGCCTGCTGCAGGGCCCCCGACAGAAGTGCCAGCTTTTGTGCCTCAGCCTAGACCCTCTGTGAGTGTCGGCGCCACTTCGAAGGCTTCAGGTTCACTTCAGCTGGGGATCTCTTCTTCGGGTTTGAAGCGCACTCTTTCTGCAGATTTTGCTGGTGTATCGCGTGCCACACAGAAGAGTCGAGGCAGTGCTTCTTCTGCTATTCCTCCGAAATACAGACACAATGCAGGCTACAGCATGGTTGCGCTCTCACTTTTCTGGTCTGCTCTTGAAGTGCTAGGAGCGTCTAGTGCTCTGTACCAGCAATTGGCAAATTCCATACATTCGGAAGCGCATATCCAGCGGATCCTGGCAGGATTCTCAGTGAACACTGTGCTTCGCTATTTGTCGGCATGGTCTCATTTCTTGGTGAATCTTGAAGGGCTCGGGTATACGCTTGAGCTTCTCGACGGGGTAGTCATGGCTGATATTCTGGTTACAATGACTCTTGAGAAGCACGGTGATCCGACGCTGGGAGCGGGTACACATATGACTATAAAAGCTCTGCGGTGGTTATGCAGGATTGGCCAAGCTGAGTTTCTTCGTTGCGCTTATGACAAAGTCATTGATTCATTTCTAAAGACAAAGATTCCATCGGAGCGTCGGGAGAGCTTCCCGCTACCGCTATTCGTTATCCAACTTTGGGAGAGACGGATCCTTATGCGGCAGTCCAGCATTCAAGAAATCATAGTGCTAGGCGCTTTCTTGTGTGCAGTGTGGGCATCACTGCGCTTCGCCGACATGCAGCGAGTAGAGTGGTCAAGTTTGGTGTTTGATTTACACACGTTGAGGGGCACTTGTTACCAAACAAAAACCTGCTCCACGGGACAACCCTGGGGGCTTCTTGCTTCAGGCAATCTGTCGCGAGGCACGCACACCTGGATGAGTAAATATTTGCACGCGCTTGACAAGCTGGCATATCGGCACCAGCAGGAGTTTCCCGAGGCAGACGCCCCATCTTTTATGTTACCAGCTCTGGACTCGGACGGTTTCGCCCTGCCTCTGGAGCCAATGTGTTACGCTCAGGCTTTGAAGCTGCTTAGGCACTACATTACAATGCCATGGTCGTCATCACCCCCAGAGGTTCCTGAGTTGAATTTCACGATACACAGCTTGAAAGCCACTTTGCTCTCCATGGGTCTTCAAATCGATGTCCCGGAGACTGACAGGCGTCGCCAAGGACACCATCGGATTACAAGCTCTGAATTGTATAGTCGTGATGACATCCACGGTATGATTAGATGCCAAACAAGCATTCGGGACAGCGCCCGCCAAGGTTTCGAATTTGTGGTTCCTCTTCACCGGGGGGGCCAGATGCCTGTTAAACCTCATAGAGCGCCGTTGGAGTCTTTCAGCAAGGCCTACGAGTTCGAGCCCTTCTTGTGGTTCAATTTCTTGCTTGATGCATCGGGCGGTTCCTTGCAGGGCAGTGATCAGTCTTGGGAGTTTCCGGAGCTGCCTGCTTCTTCGGATTCAGGGCCAGAGCCTGATCAGACAACTGGGTATCAATCAGATCCTGGTAGCTCGGAGGATGAGGATGAGGACCAGTGTGACGACACGGTTGAGTCGTTGGGCACTGCTGAAGAGTTTCTCCTCGGCTCCACAACCGGTATTCTGCATGTGCTATCGCCATGCTCTGAGGGTGACGGCATCTTCGTTCAGGGACAGTATGTGCGTGCGATTTGTGGTGCCCCACTCTGCTCTGACAGGTTACGCATTCACACATTTGTCCCATCCTCAAGCAGATTGTGCCGTAGGAGTGCCTGTTTGCTAGCGCTGTCCACCATGGAATGATGTTATGAGCCGTACGGGGTTATGAAAAAAGGGGAGGGCGAATGATATCTGTACAGCACGTCATGAAACATGCTGTCGGTGAGCTGTTGTCCGCTTGCATGCTGAACTATCGGTAAAAATCACACGTGGATGGGCTGTTCCTCGCCGCGCGCAGCAGGGACTGAAATCACGTGTCGTTTCACACTGTTTCACACCGTTCCATCCTCTAGCGGTATTGTTTAGGCAGTACTGTCTGTCTTGTGTCCCTCCGATGGCCGATGATCTCAAGGCTGCCCTGACCTCTGAGGGGCTCCCCGAGGATGTCATTCAAGTTGCCATCGATGGTGGGTGGACGGCCTCGGCTTTCAAGAATTCAGTTGAGACCCAAACGGAGTTGGAAGCCATCCTGGATGAAATTTTTCCGGGAGTTGTTCTGACTAGACTGCAAAAATCGCAGATTCGTGCGGTTTGGGCCAGCATGCAAGCACCAGCAGCATCAATTTCTCCCTCGACGACGGTCGCATCCTCGGCTGCTGACGGGAGCTGGGTTGAAAGCTTTGCTCCAAAGATGTCATCATCTAAGTTGTCTGAGCTGAAGCAGCAGTTTCTCAGATCCTATCCGAGTGAGATTCTTACGCCATCAACACTGCCATCAATGCGGCTGTCATCATTGGCAGCTCACCAGGAAGCTAAACATGAGTACAAGTGGATACCATGGAAGCTTCGCATGTCAGATGAGAGGGCCTCCGAGTTGCTCATCTCCCGCCCAGCCAAACAGCCCCGGTTGGAAATGTTAGGATTGCCCAGTCTCATTCTGGACGAACCACCATCCATCGAGATTAGCGACGGCACCATGGGGGTTAGCGGTGTGCAACGGATCCTTGCCGTGCATGATACGGCCCTGGCTATGGTTGGTTCAGCCCATCTTGCACGCCTCAAGGCTTATAGCTCTAAGTTTGTGCATCTGCTGTCACAGCGCTTTGATCCCGCATCCGGCCTTCGGCCACCTAGCATATCGGAGGCTCAGCAGGCCGACTGTAGGATGTGGCAATGTATTTATGCGTTGGGCAGTGACAAAGGTTGGACACTGAACGATGCGCTCCATGAGTATACGGAGGTCCGAGGTGAGTTGAGTACTCTGTTGCAGGCTCGCCCCAAACCCGCACAGGTGAAAGGGGGGGAAACCAAGGGCAAGGGCAAGTTGGGTAAGCTGATGGCCACTGCATTTGCTTCAGGCGGAGGCAAGAACACTGGCAAGGGTAAGGGTAAGGAGAAAGGTCCAGGGGCTGGTAAAGGCAGGGATGCAAATGCGCCCGGTCGCCACATCAGCTTTGTGAAGGAGATCCAGGTGGGATCTGAGCGCAAGGGATTGTGTGTGCAGTGGCAAATGGGTCGCTGCTCGCGGGGTTCGGGGTGTCCCTGGATCCATGCCTGTGCCTACCCGCGTCAGGACGGGAGCGCCTGTGGGAGTAAGAGCCACACGGCTCTGCAACATGAACAAACTCCGCACTGATCCTTGAAGCCCTGCCCCCAGCCCAGCTTGGACCCCACCTCAGCTGTTGGATCCTCTGTTTCACCCGGGGTTCACTTTACTCCGGTTTCAGGTGGCATTTTGCCAGTGTCCAGTGTTGGCTGTTCCCAGCAATCTGTAGGCCAAATTGGCCGGTCTGCTGTCTCGCGGAATGTATCCGCATCTGTGCATGCTGCATCGTTGGTGTCGGGGAGGGCAGGTTCCCCTGAGCCCGTGTTGGGCTCGCGTGTTGATCATGATCGATCAACAGAGAGTGTGCTGTCGATGTCGGCCCCAGATGTGGCCTCCTCTGCTACAGCTATGCAAGCTGCAGGAACTGATGTCACGCACGTCGCATCAACAGGTGTCCCCTGCATTCATGATTATAGCTCGTGTTACGCAGCCTTGAAAGATGCCGCTTGGCCTCCGCGTGTGGGCCCCAATCGCCCTGGAACTACTTCGATTTCGGAAGATTCGGGATACTGGAATTTTGGGGTTCAGATTAGTTCTAGACATTGCTTGACTGCAGTTTCCAAAGCGTTGCCGGAGTTGTGCCGTGATTTGAACAAATTCCTGCGTCAGCTGTTTCCTGGCGAATCTTGGAACACTCTATGCGTCAGCAGAAACATCCTGACATCGCCTCGTCAGGATACAGCGAATGTGGCAGGGTCCTCAAATCTCACAGTGGGCATTGGTTCGTACACGTCAGGAGGTATCTGGCTTGAGGATCCATCCGGCTCCACAAATCAGTACATCCCGCAGCTATGCTCCGAAGTCGTTGGCAAAATTGTCAACACTCATCACGCCCCTTTGAAGTTTCCATCACACCTTTGGCATTGCACACGGCCTTGGCTAGGTGATAGGTGGGTCTTGACGGCATTCACTTTACCTGACGTCTCACATGATGTCATTGAGGCCCTGGGGTTCCCATCAGGCGCGTGTGAATCTTCTAGGGAGTTACAGGCCACCGATGGTACGGCTTACGCGAAATCCGAGTCATTCATGCCTCAAAATAGTACGCAAGCGAATACAATCGGCCCTGCCACAAACATGAAAACAGCCGCATCGAGCCCAGAGCCGGATAACACCAAAGCACTCATTAATTGGGGTAGAGCTTCATCGCACGGTTTTGCGAATCACTCTTTAAAGGTGCAGCCTCCTGTCCCTAGAATCCCCCCGAACACGGCCGCAGAGCTGCTGCCAGAACCTTCGAGTCACAGGATCTTCCTCGACATTTGCTCGGGCCTCGAACAGCCATTATCGCTTGCAGTTCACGAACTTGGTTTTTCGACTTTAGCGGTTGATATCCTGCTCGATAACAGTATGGACTTGCTCGACAACGGGTTCTATGAAAGACTGTTGTTCCTTTGCGGATCTGGCATTGTGGGCTACTGCGCAGCCTCCCCGTGTTGTGCCGAGTACTCTCGGTTAAAGCTGTCGGGAGGTCCCCCATACGCCATCAGAACACCACAGCAGCTTGATGGGGTTTTCGGTTTGTCACCCGCAGAGCAATCACGTGTGCAAGAGAGTCATGAGATTCTCGCCAGAGCTTGCAAATGCATTCAAGTGGTTCATGCCTCGGGTGGTCACGGCCACCTCGAACAGCCTTCTGGGGCTATGTCCTGGGAGGAATCATGCGTCCAAAGCTGGATACACTCAGGCTCCACAGCTCTGGTTTTGCTCCCAGCTTGTGCATTTGGGGTGGGCTGGTCAAAGACGTGGCTTTTTGCCCCCAGCTATCAAAAATTATCTGTCATGGGGCAAACATGCCAACATGGTAAGAACACTCCTGTTGTCATGCAAGGCCGTTCATCTGATGGCTCATTTCTGAGTCGACGCACCGCGAAATACCCTCAAAGTTTGGCTGAGACCTTTGCGCTGCATATCCGTCCCCTGTTGACTGAAGAAAGGATTCAGCATAGCATGGAGTCAGCGGCTGCTCTTGTTCCGTTGAAAGGGTTACATGAGGGTCCTTGGGTTGTTCACGATGGGGCTGGTCGCCACTCATGTGGGGATTGGAGCGCCCCACTCTGCCCGGATAAGTTGAAACCGCTTCGCACATTCTTGCTTGATAAAGTGTATAGTATGCAAGGGCATAAGCGTTTGATTGCCAAAGCTGCCTGGCCGGGCCCTGAGCCTCTCTTCACAGCATCAGAGGTTGCCTCAGTTCGCAAGGGTTTTCTGTCCGCTTTAGGGGTTTCCGAAGACTCCAGCACTTGGGCCGTTCGTGAACATCAACCTTTGGCATTGAAAGTCTTGGAGAAACTCGCATGTTTCTGCGGTGATCCCGATGTCAGCTTGTGCCAGTCGCTACAAGAAGGCATCCCTACAGGCTTTTATAATGACATCCCAGCCTCTAATTGCTTTTGGCCCAACAAAAAGGAAAGCCTTGAAGACATGCCGTTGTCAATCCACATGCAGAATTGGCGCTCAGCATCGGTTGAGCCCTCAGTCACAAAGAAACTTTTGCAAGAAGAGTTGGATCAAGGGTTTTGCTTTAAGTTTGACGGGGATTTATCTGCTGCGGAGAAGAAGTGGCCAGGTTGTCTAGCTATAGGTAAGCTGTCGGTGGTGCGCGCACCGGGTCGTGCCGAAAGACTCGTGTTAGACAATTCTGTATGTGGTACAAATTCAAATTGCAGCGTGCCGGAAGTTCAGCACATGCCGTCTGTCCGTGATGTGATGCACAGTTACCCATTGCGGGAAAGCCGTAGCAGACAAGCCGCCATATCCCTTGATGTGAAAAGCGCCCACAAGCGCTGCGTCGTCAAGGAGAACGAACAAGGCCTTCTGGGCTTTTCTTTCGATAATGCCCTTTACTTCTACCGAGTGGCTCCTTTTGGAGCAGTCTTTGCACAGCACTGGTGGGGTAGATTAGGATCATGTATTCTTCGATTGCTGCATATCCTGATTTACTTCAGTCACACGGGTCACCTGTTTGTGGACGATTACTTGATATCGCAGCTGGCATCCATCCTTCCCGTTACGGGCGCCATGATTTGCCTGTTCCTTCAAGTGCTGGGGATACCCCTCAGCTGGAAGAAGCTTCAGATGAGCGAAAGGGTTCAGTGGATGCAAGACACAAAAAGGCTCAAATTGTTGGGTATGGTCCAAGACTTGAAGAAAAATCCGCGTCTTACAAAGAAGGATCTTGAAAGGTTTCTGGGGCTCGCGCTATGGGCCTCTCATCTTTTCCCGACAATGAAAACCTTGTTGCATAGCTTTTACCACGATCTATTTAGCCCGGCAGCTACGAATTATTCAATTGCGCCAGATGCCTGGCCACATCTCAGGCATCACTTGACTGAATCTCTGCAGTTCAAGTCGGTCCCTCCAGGTACAGCAATACCATTGCATGCCACACTGCTTTCGGTTCGCCATCAGGAGTTGCGCAATCTTTCGGATCTCGCAAAAGTTCGCATTACAGCTTGGGTTAAAGCCCGCGCCCAGCAGGCTTGTGATGCGGCCGCCGCGCCACCGGAGGTCAGCAAAGCCATCTCGGCGATACATCCTACTTCCATCTTGCAGCAACATGGCAAGGCGTGGGCAGAACTGTGGACTGCGCCAGCAGGCTTAAACTTCACCACCCCTACCATGCAAAGCATCCTTGAAACAGTGCCAAAAAGGGCCCCTTTTTCAAATGAATTTCCTGGCGAATTTTCTTTTGAACCGGAGGAACTGATTGCAGTCGCAAAACAAATGAAAGGCAAAGCGGCGGGGCCAGACGCGTGGAAGTCTGATCATCTGCTTGAATTACCCATGCCCTGGTGGGCCCAGTTCACACGCCTTTGGAACTCCATCCTGCAGGGAGCCCAGACGCCGATGCAATGGCGCCGCGGCCTCGTGGCATTGTTACCCAAACGGGTAACGTCAACACGCCCGATCGGGCTTCTCCAGGTTGCTTGGCGCATCGGCGCAAAATGTCTTTGCAGACGTTTAAGAAAATGGATCCTCTCCTGGGTCAGCCCGAGTGCCTTCGGCGGGGCTCCGGGATTCTCAACCGCAGACGCACACCTTCGAATTGCTTCAGCCCTAAAAAGGCAAGTAAATTCTTTTGTCGTGCAAGATTTAAAAGGCTTTTTTGATCATCTTCAACTTAACGCCGTAATCCCGATCCTCAGACGGCTCGGTGCACCCAGCTGCTTGGAACACATCTTGAATAGCGTCTACTCGGGTGCCGAGCGGCTCTTCGTTGCAGGCGGATTTGCGGCCGCAGCCTGGACTCCTGTCTCACGAGGCTTGGTACAGGGGGACCCACTAAGTCCTTTATTGGCGTTGGCTGTCAGCGTGGCTTGGAGCTCTTACGTCATACAAGGCCCAATCCGAGGCCTAATGTATGTGGATGACAGGCTTCTTTGGCCGGAGCAGAGTGCCAACCCTGCCCGAGCCATTGGGCAGGCGGTGGAACGATCCACCAGGTTCGACAGAGCTTTCTACTTAGTGTGCGAACCCACCAAATGCTCTGTCATTGCAGCTCCTGGCGACACTTCCCTTCAGGACTTGGCGGAACGGCAGGGCTACATGCAGAAAACTTCGCTTGAAATTTTAGGCGTCGAAATCGACTTGTCGGGAAGCACCCCCAAGCCGCTCAGGTTGGTGCTAGATCGTGTGCTGTGGCGCCTCCGCTTCATCAAATACCTTCCTGTGCCCATCCACCGAAAAACTCAACTCATGTGGACTTTGGGGTTTTCGGCTGTCTTTTGGTGTGCTGGCGTTGCTTCCCCGGGCGATGCCGTTCTCTCCACCATCAGGTCCGAGGTCCTTGCTGCATTTCGCAGAAGCTTCACTCCCGAGGTGCCGTACTTCTTGCAGCACTGCATGATGGGATGGAACACAGACCCCTTTTTCATGCAAGATTACACAGCCCTTCGTCGTGTCCAGTCCTTCGTTGCACAGCGACCTTCTTGGCTTGATGATGTGCCACTCCGGGAGGCCGTCGATCCGTGGTCGGATCTGTTTCCGGTGGCGGCTGAGGCGGTCCGAAAACACAAGTGGACCATCCT